TGCGAAGGCTTCGCGATGCTTTGGGGCCTTTGGGCAAGAACGTGACATGTATTTGCAGGGATTTGCGTGGGTTGGAGGCACCTGTTTGCTAAACTCGTGCAACGCCGTGAGATGTCTTTGACAGGGAAGCATCAGGCTTGTGACCGACTCTGTATGTTCGACTGTGGCTCGCAATTCCTCTGTTGCCATATTAGCAGGGTAGTCAGGGCCTTTGAGTTCTGCAGCAAGGGCATTGCAACATGCTGAATCGTATTGTGATCAGCGTCGGCGTAAAAAGTTCAGGACGCCTTACTTCTTTCGAGGGGCTCAAAAGGTAAAGGTAGAACCTTCGGCCCAACATGGGAGCGTCGAGACAGATGGATCCTTGTTTAGATTTGCTTTGCATAGATCTGACTATTCCCGGGAAGTCCGAAGCCGGTGAAAAGACATATGGGAATTTCCCAAAAATCAGGGGTACCTTTTTGGGGGCCCCAATAATAAGAACTATAGTATATTCGGGTCTATATTAGGGTACCCTAGTTTTGGGAAACTGCCATGTATTCCATATTCCGGAGCTCCAAGCGGGCATTTCTCAAAACCAGGGTCCCCGACACCAAACAAGCAACTCTCGATATAGGCAACCCTCCAAGAAAGGGGTGATGATCCTTGCAAATTTCCATGTTCGGAATCTTGTTGTAACAGATGCCTGTAGTCAATTACCCTTGAGAACCAGTAAGATAGTGGGCTAAACCAATCTCCTGGTAGCTGGGTAAGGAAGCCCTACATCATCCCCAGATAGTCTTCCAGTAGCTCCTAATTACTTCTCAACCATGTTAAGCTTCTTACATTGCAGGTCATCACACTATATGATATGATTACTATCATATTTATATCATAAGTTACTAATTATGTTCTTCTATTCATGTTATACCTCTTGACTTTCATGCCGGAACACCAACGCCTAAGGCGTAATACCCCTTCAACTCTCTCCCGCTCCAACCCGAAACAGTAAACTTTAGGCTTTAATCCCTAAATTCCGACACACTTGCCCCAAACACTAAACTTTAAACCCAAAACCTCAACCCCTAAAACCCACACCTAAGTCGAAGCTCTAAACCCTACGCCCTAAGCCCTAAACCCTAACCCCTAACCCCTAAATCCCTAAACCCCTAAACCCTTAACCCTAAACTGTCATCCCTCCAAGGGCCCAGGGCATGGGTCTGATGCAGTCTCTCTACTCAACTAGGCCAGCGGTGCCTGGCTCAGATTCGCTGGTTGTATGGCCTTATAGGGATTACACAGGGTCATATAGGGTTATATGGGGATTACATAGGGTTATAAGAGCTCATGCACGGTCATATAGGGCTCGGGGGATATTACCTGAAGAATGGACAAGCAAATAGAAAAGAAAACTGGACAACGAAAACCAGAGGTAGTTTGGAGCTTCATGCTTGAGAAAACACAAGTTATAGCCAGGTGATAACGTACCATCGTTGATGATTGCAATTGTACATAGCACTAGTGTTTCACAATATATCTGCCTAGGAACTAAAAAATGCCCAAACTCTAAACCCTAATCCTTAAAACCTCAAACTGAAAACCCAAACGAAAGATTAACAGCATATGTATATATGTATATATCACTTTATGTCATTTTTTTGTATATTCTGTATATACTTGCCCAGAAACTAACCCTAAAGCGCAAACCTACAATTTTTCGGCGAGGTCGACCCTCAAGGTGACTCCATGTCTGCGCTGCAGCTGTTGCAGACGCCGCAGATGCCCCTGACCGAGCTTGCCTCCAGTGATCCTTGCATGTCCCATGTTGCTGACCCAATACTATACTGGGGTATAATATGGGGTATAGGGTTTAGGGCTATCATACTATCCCTCCATAATGGAGAAGCAAATGGAAAAGAAAACGGAAGATGACATAGAAGCTGGGGTTATGTAGGGGTTTAGAGGAATTAGATAGATAGTATATATACATATATATCTAGGAGCTATAGTCTAAGCTCCTTAAAAAAGGGTTACACAGGGGATTACGGTTTAGGGTTTAGGGGCTAGACTCCATAAAGCAGGTATATAGGGGAGCATTATAAGGGCTATTGTAGGGCTTATTGGTTGGGATGCTAGGAGGTTAGACTATAGCTCATGTCACCTTTGCTAAGCCAAAAAAGCACAAGTTCGATAAGAACAGATTGCATTATGCTAATATGGTAGTCGCGATCATATGATATGGCAGGATATAATACGGCAATATCACAGTAATAACAGTACCATAGCTACAAGTAGTTTGAGAAGACATTCCCGACTGAAAGCTTTTCCATTGTTGTTGTGGCTCGCTGTGCTGCCAGGCAGGGCTTATGGCAGGCTTTGGTGCTTTCAGGTCATGTGTGCTCCTTGGCAAAGCCACGCTTGATGCAGCCCTGGCTCAAAGCATCATCACAATGTTGGGCACAGGCTTAGCCAGCGATGCGCCAACGCGCATCGCAGAGTGCATGGATGGAATTAAGGAGGTTGTCGTAACCTGCTCGCGGAAGCAGCAGGAGCAGCGCCAGCAACTCGATGAGCTGCGGAAGGCGGTGTGCGGTGTGCAGGATGAGAAGTTGATGGCCTTGCGCGAGCAGCTCATATACCCCATAATAATCCCAGTTTCCATTTCATTTTCCATTTTCTTTTCCATTGATTCTTCATCATAGTAGTTTCCATTTTCTTTTCCATTATCCCAAAAGAGCCCCTATATAACCCCAATATTATGAAGCTCAAGGCACAGGCGAAACGCAGCCTGGGCCGTCGAGCAAAACAGAACCTGGCATCAGCTACAGCACTGGCAGCCTCAGACAACAGACAGCTCCGCGGAGCAGCGACAAGTACCAGTGTATCAAATTCGCCCATGCCAACAGTGCATGAAGAGTCTCACCCACTATTGGATCAAAGTCATTCTGATGAAGCCAAGACCAAGATGGTCTACGGCAATGGTAAGATCAGCTTTGCTCGTGAGGTGCTGCTTAGGTCCCTAGACTTGCCAGCTGACACCATCCACTACAGAATGGAGCCGTTCCTCGAGGAACTTGCTGCGGAGCTCGGGCGCCCCAGGCGCAAACCTGCACCGGTGCCAGCCTGCCATCGCAGTATCCAGCAGCGCCAGAATGCTCCAGGAAACCACGGGCGCTGGCCTTCCAAGTGGAGTGACGAGGTCAATGACGACAAGTCGTGGAAAACTGCTTCCTACGGAACATGGAAGCCCAACAACTGGAAGGACAATACCAACAGCGCGTGGAAATGGTGAGGGGCAAGCACAATGACATGTACCGAGTTTTCCATTTTGAAAGCAAAGCTCTTGTGTCTGAGAGAGCCCCATGACAGAAACCAGCTTTGACGGCAAAGGACGCGCAAGCACGCACAAGATTGGGAGTTTGGGAATGTGGGCACCTAGGGGAGAAGTGATTAGGTGAGGGGACGTTCGTGCATGGGGCTTCCAGGATTACAGTCACAACTATTTGGGACAATGGCGTGTGATGTTGTCGAGGAACCGTTAACGGCTGGTGGCACAGCCATTGTTTTTCAGACTCCATTTCTTCCTGTTGATAACGACCATTTCTGCTACTACTTGACGGTGGGTTTGATGCACGCGGCTCGACTGCGCGCTCTTCGCTTTAGGTTTCTGCAGCCCACCTCTCTGCAGAGAACATCCATGTCTGGAGCTCAGAGTGTCCCTCCAAGCCAGCATGGGCATTCTAAAACTTCCAAGTAGTCTAATCGCAAAACTCTAGCTTCCCTAAACCCTAAACCGCACGCGTGATCAAGATTCTAAGGATGCAGCTGCCAGCGCAGACAGCTCCACAGCCAGCTTTAGCAGCAGATTCCAATCTGCGCCGTAGCTCGATTCCAGAGCCACTCATGCCGATCCCTATGGCGCAGCCTGCCTATGCAGCACCACAGATGCAGATGCCAGCTCCGCAAATGTGGGGACCAATGCCACAGATGCAGATGCAGATGCCCCGGCCCAAGCACAGTTTTTCCATAGATCCGGCAAACTGAACATTTGGAGTGCCCAAGGCCAATGCCATATCAGCAGGTTCAACCGCTGGGCCTTCAGCAAATGCAAGCAGGGTGCTTGCCTGAGTCTGTGCATGCGGCCCTTGGCAAAGCCAAAGAGCATTTCAAGGATCTTCCTCTAGCGCAGCGTTTGATCTCCTATATTGGGATAACGCCCTTTTACTCCCAAACCCTACATAACCTCCTTGCCGATCTGCAACTCGTTTTGATCATTGTTGTTTTGTGGACTCCATGCTAGAGCCAGGAGCTGGATGCAAGAGCAGGCCGCCATCAGCCCAGACTTTCGCAGGTTCCGAATGAAATAGGGCTGAGGGTTTAGGGCTGAGGGATGTCCCTGCTGCTGGTTTTAGCAGAAGTAGCAGCTGCTCCTCTGCTGTATGTCCTGGTCTGATTGTAAACTTTGTGGCCTTCCTTTCAAGGATTGCCTGGGCTTCCGAGGCCATGGAACAGCAGTTCATGGCAATGAGGCAGGAGTTGCAGGAGCTCAAGCAGCAGGCGCCGCCAAGCAGTGCCACGCCACGTGAGGTAGGGTTTCCGCCCGCTATGGTTGTTGGTGAATGTGTACAGGCTTTTAAGGGGTGACCTTATGGTCACGGAGGGTCGCTCTTCAGTCCCACAGCTCCTCAAAGTGCTAGCAATTGCAAAGGATTCGGCGGCCCTCTGATGATTCTTTCTGCCTGAACGCATGATGCTTCGCTTTCCAGCCCTTCTGATACAGCATGCAACTGCTTCTGCAGCAGGAAGCCAAGCAGGCAAAAGATTTGGAACTGAAGGCCACGTCTGGACACTGGTTGGATTTCTGCTTGAGATTGCGGCGCGACATGAGCCAGCAAGCATGCGTCCTCAGCTCAACGTCTGTTTCTATCTGCTAGACGACGGAAGCTGAGCTGGCTGACAAGAAAGTGGACGAGGCCTTTGCATTTTCAGGACTTGCTGCACTTGTGGGCAGAGCCGTCCAGATGAATTTGCAGGCCGAAAAGAAGATGAAGGCCTGTCCAACAATGGATGATTGCCATCATAGCTCACAGTGGCCATCACAATTAGAATATGTTTGCTATTGTTGTATTACAATTATACTATAGTAGTTTCCATTTTCTTTTCCATTATCCGTATATAACCCAATATAGTATAAGCCCTATATATAATATATATATATGACACACATCTAATCATGTTACTATTATTAGTACTATTTCTATTCTTTTTGAGAGTGAAAGTCTTACTACTAATATTTTGCTATTACAATTCTTATTGTTACTATTGTCATTACTATGGTTAACCTTATTATGAGCGCTTCGACGCAGAATCGTGGGCTGCCAGGAAGCAGATGCCGCTGCGAAGCAGCTCCAGGACAGAGAGCAGAAGGTAGAGGACCAGGCCAGGCTGTCGGGGTCTAGGGTTTAGGGTTTCGGGTTTAGGGTTTAAACTTTAGGGTTTAGGGGTTTAGGGTTTAGGGTCTAAAATTTAGGGTTTAGGGGTCTAGGGTTTAGGGTTTAGGGTTTAGGGTTTAGGGGGTTTCGGGTTGAGAGGCCTAGCTTTATAGACTCGTGGAGGTGACGATGAACTCACAATAGACTATAATATGCTATAGTATTTTGTAATCTATTACGATATACTATGGTATACTCTAAAATACTATAATCTACTATATATACTATGAAATACTACTATGGGGGTGATGCGATGTTTCTCAAAACAGGGTACATCTAGGGCCCACAGCGATCAACAGGGAGTAGAGTAGGATTTTTTTTGAGCTGCCTCTGAAGCACTATAATTGGGGTCATTTGGGGGTTATGTAGGGATAATGGAAAGGAACATGGAAACTACTACAATATATTAGGGTTATATAGGGGCTGTACCTGAGGGATCCATTTCTATCATTCGAACGATTGTGAGGTTGGGGGAGGATGGTACGGAACGTCTCTGAAACTCCTCAGCACAAAAGGCACCTGCTAACCCCAAAACCCTCAACCCTAAGCCATTCCCCAACCCAGAAAACGGCAGCTGGCATGGCCTTGCTTCGTGAAGTTGCTCAGGCCATTTCAGCTGTTCGAACGGCGAAGGCACAAGTTTCTCAGGCCTGACACCTTCAGAAACGCAAGACTGAAGAATGCTGAAAAGGGGTTACGGTGGATGGAGGAAATCTTGCACCACTTAGGATCCGCAAAATACTTTAATTCTGGGGGTATAGTGTATGCAGGGAGGTGCAAGACCACAGTATACGCTCGTGATGGTACTAGTAGTAAAAGCTGCTACATTATGCCGGAGTCCATGCGCTGCTTTGCATTGCGGAAGGCTCAGAAAGAGGTCAAGCAGATGCAGGACGAGTTGAGACAGGCCAGTAGGGACTTCGCACTTGCAAAGTGGGAGGCTCAACGGTAAGCTTTTAGGAGGAATCCAACTTTTGAGGATTCAGCTAGTGGGGTCTGCTGAGGCCTCAACACCAAATCCTGCACACCCCACACTTGAGCTTTCGCGTGCGGAAGGCGCAGGCAGATGCGATCCAAGCACGAGCGGCGCAGGCAGCAGCGGAGGACCCTTTGTGCAATCCACATGATAAGCTTCGCCTGCCATTGGTGTGCTGTGCTTAAATTATACAGGTTAATGACAGTAGTTACTGCTACTATTACTGCTGCGGCGGCGACGACGACGACGACGTCGACAACGACGACAACGACGACGACGACGACGCCGACGCCGCCGACGACGACGACTAACATTAATGATAATAAGGATTACTACATAGCCTTTTTGACCTTGCAGAGCTTGGGCAAAAGCCTTTTTGACATCGCATCGTTCTTCGTTTCCTTCATTTGATGTTGCAGTCGTGCGCATTGTGAGATTTTGAAGTAGGGCTTCGCACCCATTTTTGCCGAGGGTATTTATGCCATTTTCAGCTTTCGGCACGGGGCTTCATTCGTTTTGACGCTTCCCAGTATGCGGGCTCGCCAAGATTATGTGTACTCAGGATTCTTATTTTGTTTTATGATCGCCCCTTTAGTCTAAGGTACACGCTTTTTGTCCAAGGGTGTATGAGGAGCTCTGATTTTGATTTAAGGTCCCCTATCAGGCCAGGGTACCCCCTATCAGTACAAGGTTATGAGTTTTGACATTACTTTCGAATCGCTTCATCAGTTCAATTTTTTGTCATATCTTACCTGCGCAATCTTTCAAGTCTCGCGGGGAGCCAGTCGCACCTGACAAATGGGTTGTTCTCAAAATTGCAGGCCCCTTTTGGTTATAGAGTACATTACGGCACCTACTATTTAGACCCTCATTTAGAGAATTATCCAAATTCAAGTGGATAGCCAACCAGCAGCTACAACATGACGATCCTCAAGAAAGCTGGTTGGGGGCAGTGTCTCCACGGCGAAAGAACCATCACGTCACAAAGCAGTATGCAACCAAGTAGTAACAACTCCCGCTACTACTGCTACTATTGCTACTACTGCTACTACTGCTGCTACTGCTACTACTGCTGCTACTGCTACTACTGCTACTACTGCTACTACTGCTGCTGCTGCTGCTGCCGCTGCTGCTACTAGTACTACTAGT